AAAGAACATCCCAAAAGAAGATCAATAGGAAAGCAGAGAATTTGAATCATACTAAACACCAAATGGACCTAACACACATACACGGAATATTCCACTCAACATCAGCAGAACGCATATTGCTTTCAAGTTCCCACAGTTCTTTCTCCAGGATAAATCAAATGTTAGATCATGAAAATAAAAGTTAACAAATTTTTAAAAGATTGAAATCAGAGTAGGTATCTTCTCAGATCACAAGGGATGAAACTAAACAATCAATTGCAGAAGGAAAACTGGAAGATTTACGGTATGAGGGAATTAAACAATACACTAGTGAACAATCTTTTTGTGAAAGAAGAAATCAAAATGGAAATTAAATACCTCAAGACAACTGAATATGAATATGCAACATGCCAAAAATTATTGGCTGCAGCAAAAGTGGCACTAACAGGGAGGTTCATGGTGATTAACGTTTGCATTTTAAAAAAGAGAAAGATTTCAAATAAACTACCTAACATTACACTTCAAGGAACTAGAAAAAGAAAAATGAACTTAGCCCAAAATTAGTAGAAGAAAAAAATTATAAGTATTAGAGCAGAAGTAAATGAAATAGAAAATAGAAAACAAACAAAGATCAGTGAAACTAAGAGGTGTTTTTAAAATGGTAAAAAAAAAAAATCAATAAAACATCTAAAAAATAGAGAGAAAATGCAAATAAAATAGGAATGCAAGGAGAGACATAAAAACTGAAAAATTATGAGACATTCATGAGAGATATTGATCTGTAGTTTTCCTCGCTTGTGAAGTCTCCTGGTTTTGCTATTGGGGGTGATGCTGGCACCATAGGATGAGTCAGGAAGTAGCAACTCTGCTTCAATGTCCTTAAAGGTATTGCAGAGAACCAGTGTAATTTCTTACTTAAATGATTGGTCATATTTACTGGTGACTATATCTGGGCCTGAGAGCTTATTTAATAGAAGGTTTTTAATTATTGATTTAATTCTGTTTGTACATGTAGGCCCATTAGGATTATCTGTTTCATCTTGTGTGAGTTTTGTTTTGTGTCTTTTAATTAATTTTTTTAATGAAGACTATAAAATTTGTGAGTATGTGGTTATTCACAATATTTCTCTGTTATCACTTACATGTTCATTTGATCAGCACTTAGCTTTCTTTCATTTTCATACTAATAAGTTATGTCTTTTTATCCATTTTTCTTAGTATGGCCAGAGGTTAATCAATATAATTGACATTTTTTTTTTTTAAAAAAAAGATGGAGTTTCACCAAGATGGCCAGGCTGGTCTTGAACGCCTGACCTCAGGTGATCCACCCACCTCGGCCTCCCAAAGTGCTAGGATTATAAGTGTGAGCCACCACGCCCGGCCCATAATTGACATTTTCAAATAACCAGTCTTTCATTGATTTTCCTTTATTGATTTGCTATTTTTTTCCTATTTTATTGATTTTTATTGTACTGTTTTCCTTGTTTACTTTGGATTTAGTTTAACTTTCTTTCCCTAGTTTGCTAAGATGAAAGCTTCAATTTCTGACTTTAGATATGATACATGCATTCAATGCTATAAATTTTTTCTGTAAGTTTTGCTTTTGATGAATCCCACAAATTTTGGTAAGTTGTATTTCATTTTTATTCAGTTCAAAATGATTTTAAACTTTCTCTTGAGACTATTTTAACCCATGTGTTATTTGTGAATTTGTTATTTAATCTCCAAGTATTTCAGGGCTTTACAGTTCTCTTTTTATTACTGATTTCTAGTTCAATTTCATTTTGGTTTCAGAACATACAGAGTAGAATTTCGTTGCTTTAGACTTGTTAAGGTACACTAAGACAGAGAATTTGATCTACAATAAAGAACATTCTATGTGGTCTTGAGAATAATGGTTAGTCTGGTCTTATTGCATGGAATATTTTCTAAATATAACTGGATCAAGTTGATTGATCATTGTATTAAGGTCAATTATACACAGTAAGTCCTCACCTAACCTTGTCTGCAAGTTCTTGGAAAATGTAACTTTAAGTGAAACAATATGAGCAGGTCCTCAAGGAAAAAATCTTTTTTTCAACAACGTTTCATTATAACATTGATGAGAAAAAGATGATTTCATTGTATATAGTTTCATTTCAAGTCAGTTTTGAAGAACTTGACGATATTGAGGACTTCCTATACTTACTGATTTTCTGTATGTTGTTGTGTCAGTTACTAATAGAAAGTAGTTATATTAGTCAACTATAATAGTGGATTTTTATATTTATCCTAGAAGTTCTTTCAGATTTTGCCTCATTTGTTTTGACACTGGTGATACACACACAGAAACACACACACACACACACACACACACACACTATTTTGTTTTCTTTAAGACTTGCTCCCCATATTATTATAAAATATCCCTCTTTATTCTATATGTTTGATTGCTTTGATGTTGAGTTCATCTGAAATTACTATAGATTATCAAGCTTTCTATTAATTAGTATTATCATGGTATATCTTTCTCCCATCTCTTTACTTTTAATTTACCTGTGTCTTTACATTTAATGTGTGTTTCTTGTAGACAACATAGAGTGTGGTCTTGTTTATTAATTTTTTTCTAATACATTATGACAGTCTCTAAATGTCTTTTAAATGATTTATTTAGAATATTAACATTGAAAGTGATTGTTGATATATTTGAATTAATACCTATTGTTTTATTGTTTTAGCCCTTTCTATTTGTTGCCATTTAAAAAAATCTTTTATCTTGCGCTTTTTTTTAAATTGGCTTTCTCTGATTTTAATTGACCATTTTACATTATTTCATTTTCTCTTTATGTTATATTCATTATAAATTTTTATGTATGCGTGCTTGGCCCAGTGTTTAGTGCCCTGACTTTGTCCTGTTTGGAGTTCATTAAGCTTCTTGGATTTGTATATTTATAATTTTCATAAAATTTTGAAAGTTTTAAGTCATCATGTTTTCAAATACGTTTTCGCTTTCTTTCTTTCATTACTCTCTCTGTATGGTACTCACAAAATGAGAATGTTGTTCCACTTGATAGTGGTCTTCAGGTCTCTTGGGCCCTAATGAAATCTCTCCATTCTTTTGCTTTCTGGCCTCAGATTCAACCATTTCAATTGTTCGGCCTTACTGTTTCTTTTTTCTCTCTGCTCAAATTCACTTTTAAACCCTTGTAGTGAATTCTTTTACTTATTGTACTATTGAGCTCTAGAATTTATTCAGTTACATTTAATAATTTCTATGTCTACTGATATTCTCATTTTGTCCATACATGTTTTTCTTGATTTCTTTAGTTCTTTGTCCATGTTTTCCTTTAGGTGTTTGAGTACATTTTAAAGCCTTTGTAAGTCTGAAATTTGGGCTTCTATGGGATAATTTCTGTCAATTAATTTTGTTCCTGTGAATACGTCGTGCTTTCCTTTTTCTTTTTAAGCTTTGTGATTTTCATTGTTGAAAATTAGCTATTTGACTGTTATAACTAGGAAACTTTGATTATCTCCCTGTCTGCCCTATTCAGGGTTTGCCAGTTTCTTGACTTCTGAAGACTTCATTAGTATATTTTTTTAGAGTCTTACCAGGGTATTTTTGCAAAGACTGTATCTTTTGGCTTTATGGTCTGATTCCCAGAGCTTTTGTTCAGGTAATGTTTTGACAGGGATTTTTTGAAAAACAGGGGCTAAATTTTAATGCTAATAGTAAGTACATAGACAAAAAGCAAAGGAAACAATACAAACAAAATAACCTCTATTCGGCGCAGGCTGAGTCCTGCACTGAACACTTGTTTACACTGAGCCAGACTTTCACTGAGCCTAGAAATTAGCCTCAGGTGACAGCTCATTATCTTCTTAGATATTTTCTAGCATGAATCTTTCAATAATCATGCATCTGCCTTTCTAAATTTCTCTATATATCCATGTAGTTTTGAATTTCCTTATTAAATTCCTAGTTATTTCCTGGTCTGTCATTTGTTCTCAGCGTACCTATCCTATCAGCCTAGTAGTGCAGTTAGTCCTCCATGTTCTCCTGACAACATAATTGCCGATGTAATCAACAATACTCCAACAAATCTAGTAATTCCCTTTTTCTTTTCACCCCACCCTGAAGCAGCAAAATTAATGGCTTTTACATATAGCTTCATCCTAGTTGAACTACCATGTTGATAAAGTTAGGTCAGGCTAGTATAAGGTAAGACATCAGTCTAAGGTAAAGAAGCCTGTTAGCAGAAGTAGTTTTCAACAACAAAGGTTGTTAACGTGCAGCCATGTAAACAGAAGTAGTTTTCATGAACAAAGTTTATTTATATTTAACTCGTTTAAGGTTCACTTAGCTTCTTGGATGCAAGTACTGACTTTCTTCAATTTGTTGGGAAAATTGGGGGTCGTTATTTTTTCAAATGTCTTTTCTGTATACTCTCTCTTTCTCATATTTATCTGAATCACCCATTAAACATGTACAAGAAAAATTTATATTGTCTTAGAAACATGCAACTCATTTCATCTGTTTCCCCTTTCTCAAATGTCAGAATTGTTTACTCATTGACAAACACTTTATACAATTTTCTAGAATTATTCTGTCACGGCCAAAAAAGAAAATCCTTATGGCTGCTCATTTTAATCTCTTTTTTTCAGAGATTATTAATAATTTCAGAGATGTTTCTGAAACACTATTGCCTACAGAAGTTATCTCCAGTGTTTTTATCTCATCTCATTCTACACAATTGTATCATCCCATGAGTTACTTTATCTAAACAACCTATAAACTAAGTATGACTATTCCCCAGTGCTCCTAATGATACCACTATCAAATGATATTGTCAAATTAATTTTCCCACAGATAACTAAACTTCCGTATATCCAAACTTACATGCATTATCTTCATGCTCTGTTCATCCTCTGATAATTTGATACAAATGTTTATAACTGTCCATATATAAAACACATTGATCATCATGCCTTTATTCATCGTTATTCACAAAAATTGATAACTATGTAGCAATTTTTTTTTTTCCTTTTATTGTCTACTTTGGGACCTTAAGTTAAGGTTACTGATTTCTCAGCAATTTGCATTCCTTAAGACTCATATAACCAAACCCATTTCCCACATTGCTGCTTGGGTGGACTTTATAAAATGTGAATCTCGATTTTGTTGCCTCACCAGAAACCCAATAACATGTTTGTGGAGGAAATGTATGAATGAATGAACAGCTGAATCAATAAGTAGTTTATGATATTGACAGGGACAGGGGCAGAAAAATTCTAGGCAGAAAAGTTAGTAGGCCCTAACTAAGGCCAACTCTCAAGCTGAAAAGCTTGAGGCTGCAGCCGAAAGTGAGAACTTTTCCCAGTTGAATGTTGCCTATTCCTAAACCACCCATGTCCCCATCCCACCACCATCCTGTGCCTATAAAGACCCCAGACTCAGCTGGCAGAGAGGAGAAGCAGCTGGACATCAGAGAGTGTGGCTAGACATTGAAGAGAAGTGATTTGACTTTAGAAGGAAGCTTGACGGCATAACTTTAGAGAAGAATCTGGCCAGAGACAGCTGGACTTCAGGGGAAGATTATCATCTCACTTTGGCCCCTTTTCAGCTGCCCTTTCCACTGAAAACCACTTTCATCAGCAATAAAATCCCCTACATTTACCATATTTCAATTCATTCACATGACTTCATTTTTACTGGACACTAGACAAGAGCTCAGGAGCCATGAGTGTGGATGCAAAAGGCTGTCACATTGGCCCTTTGCCCTTGCTAGTGGAGAGCAACCACCTCACATGAAAAGGCAGCGGGTCCACTTAGCTGTTCATACCTAAGCTGTCTGCAGATGGCAGAACTGAAGAAGCATGGCAACATGCCCTCTGGAGCTTCAAGGGTCACTGGAATCCCTCCAGATGCTGCTGCAGGGCCCGCACCAAGTTTGCTTCTGTCGATGCTCAAAGTGTTCCCCCTGGCTCCTACCTGTGCTCTCTCTCCTTCAAGGGTTGGAATACATCAGGTCCCAGTGAGTGGATTTTGTCCCTGCTGGCACTGAATCAGCCAGCTGGTTCCAGTGCTTATGTACTCCAGTTCTCGCCCCCTTCACTCACACACTCCCTCCTGCAAGGAGTTGAGAACTGCAGGTTGCATAAATGAGGCACCCCTGTCACAAGTCCCATGAAGGTGTCAGGGAAATATCCTGCTTCAATATTGCCTTCATTTATAGAAACAAGTTAAGTATAAATATGTATGCCATCACTCAAAATGTGATTGATTTACTGTTATTTCTTTAAAAACATGCATTTATATTTTGCCATGTTTTTCCAAAGTTGATTGAGTATATAAACACTGTATGGTACAGAGAATAAACACTGTATGGTACAGATAAAAATATCTGATTAATATTGTGTAAGATTACCATAGTCATTCCCCCTTATCTACAGTTTTGGTTGCACAGTAACAACCATGGTCAACCACTGTCTGAAAATATTAAATGAAAAATTCCAGTAACCAACAATTCATAAGTTTTAAACTGCATGCTGTTCTGGGTGGCATGATTAAATCCTCCATCATTCCTTTCTGCCTCACTAGGACCTGAATCATTCCCAGGTCCAACGAATTCATGCCGTATATGCTACCTGGCCATTAGTCACTTACTCATCTTAATTAACAGGTTGATTTTTATGCCATTACAGTGCTTTGTTCAAATCACCCTTATTTTACTTCATAATGATCTTAAAGGGCAAGATTAGTGATGCCATCAATTTATATATGCCAAAGAGAAGTCAAAATTTCTTTCCTTAAGGAAAAGGGTGAATACTCTTGACTTAATGAGGAAAATATATTAATACATGCATATTACAAATATATGTAAGTAAAATAAGTATATGTATATTTACAAATGTATATGTATATTTACAAATATTTTAATATTTAAGCAAATGTATATGTATATTTACAAATGTTAACATTTGCAAAATATACATACATACATATTTTCCTCAATAAGAAAAATTCATTGCTAAGATCTGTAGTTAAAACAAATCTTCAATCCGTAAAATTGTAAAGAATGAGAAAGTAATCTGTATTAATTTTGCTGATGCATCTAAAGCTACAAAAGTTAGGACTACAGTGGATGATAAATGCTTAGTTAAGACAGAAAAGACATTAAATTTATGAGAAGACATAAACAGAAAATGTGTTCTGATTAACAGCAACATGTTGCACCAGAAAACATTTGAACCTGTAAAAATACTTAAGCATGGAATTCCCTGAAATACATAAGCCATTTATTGCAAGTAAGAGATGGTTACATAGATTCAGGGATAGATTTGGACTGAAAAATATAAAAATTACTGGAGAGGCTGTGTCTGCTGGTGAAAAAGCAGCTGCCACATTTCCAGCAGAGTTGATGTTAATCATGGAGAAATGACATCATCCAAAGCAAGTTATCAATGGTATTGAAATCAGTCTTCTGGAAAAAGATGATCAATAGAACCTACAGTAATGGAAGTGCAAAGGAGGCGCCAGGGCATAAAACATGGAAGGACAGTTAGTTATTGTTGTTACTGTGCCTAATTGATGAATTAAACTTTATCCTAGATATGTATATGTAGGAAAAAACATAGTACATTTAGAGCTTGGCACTATTTACAGTTTCAGGCATCCACTGCGGGTTTTAGAATGTATTCCCCACAAATAAGAAGGGACTACTGCAATGTAAATGAAGCCACCATTCAGAATAACTTAGATTTCTTCAATTTGTTTTACATAAAACGACCTTCTATTTTTCTTTGGAAAATAAATTTCCACTTACCAGATTTCTGAAACTTTCCATCATCAATACTACCCCCTGGGGAACCAATCTGGAATTTACAATCTGGAGGTCTATGTCCAGGGAAGCATTGACAATTACCAAAATTATTACAGATCTGAAACAGAAAAATACAGAAATAGTTTGAGTCAGTCATCTTAGTCTTTGTATCTGATGTAAATACCTACATTTCATAGAATAATTATTTTTTCTTAAGATTATTATGACTATATAATATGAGAAATAGATTATAAAAAGTAGTAAAAATTTTGACAGCCTGATGGCCAGATGGCAAAATACCTACATGAAAGTTTATTTCTGGCCTCTGTACATTGACTATTTTTAATGTCTTCCTCAATCATCTTTAAAAAATAAGATTTAATAAAGTTGAAGCCTTCATATTCATAGAGGTTAAAGTTTTTTAAATAACTGTTATCTTATTTAGTAATTTGGAAGTATTTGTTGTCACTATTTGGACATTTTCATTTCTTTTTTTTTTTTCTTTTTGTGACTGAGTCTCACCCTGTGGCCTAGGCTGGAGTTTAGTGACACAATCGTGGCTCACTCACTACAGCCTCTGCTTCCCAGGTTCCAGTGATTCTCCAGCCTTGGCCTCCTATGTAGCTGAGATTACCCCACACGCCTGGCTAATTTTTCTATTTTTAGTAGAGACGCCATTTCACCATGTTGTCCAGGCTGGTCTCAAACTCCTGACCTCAGGGTGCCCACCTCAGCCTCCCAAAGTGTTAAGATTACAGACATGAGCCACTGTGCCCAGCCCATTTGGACATTTTCTATTCATGCACTCCAATGTCTATACAAAATACTGTGATAAAAGAAACATCAGCTGACTCAGTCACTTTAATTCTTTATCCTAGCCCCTTTTCAATATTTGACATTATTGGTCAATGATGTGCATTTCATTTTTAAGTGAATATATTTTCCAAAATAAAGTAACATACATGCAAAGCAAATATTAAAAATCAACAATCAATTCGAACTTTATGATGAGCTTGCATTGCTAAAAGTTAATATTTGACAATGTTTCTATATTATTCATGCTTTTTGTATTAATATTTCAATTAGTATTAATTTTCATTTTAAAACTAAACGAATACATATTTTGCAAAATTCAAACAATAAAAGTGTATAGAACTCAAATTCCTCAGTAACTAATTAAGTCCCATTTCCAACTGCTAAAGATGTTGTGTTTCATTCATATGTATCAAATGAATTTATAAATACATATACCCACATCCACAAACTCAAACACACATCAATAGATTTTTGCCAAATAATATTCATAACAATATACTATGAGCTTATTCTCATATCACGTTTTTAAAAATAGACTCATAATGTTCAATAGTGTGAGTATTCCCTATAATTGTCCTAAAGTTATTGTGTCCTGTCCATTTATACTCATTTTGCTAAGTTGTTTATACAGTTTATTGAAATTGATTACCTCTTTTCTATATATCAAAAGAGACTTCAATAAAGTGAGTTTGAATTATAGCCCTGAATTCATGAAGTAGTGTTCTATTTTATATGTACATGTTTTTGTTGTTGAATATTTAGTGTACAATATTTTAATATAAAGGTTTTAAATTAGAATCAGAATATCATACATGCATTTTTTTTTAAAGGGAGTCTTGCTTTGTTGCCCAGGCTGGTCTTGAACTCCTGGGTTCAAGTAATCCTCCTGCATCAGCTTCCAAAATTGCTAGGATTACAGGTGTGAGCCAGGGTATCTGGCCTTATGCATCCTTTTTAACTTATGCCACAACTGTATCCTCTTCTGAATTAATTTACATTTATTTAAATACCTGAATACAACAAAAGATCTTATTGTTTTATTTTACTAACGTCAAAAGAAATGGTCAACAAGAGCAAAGCTATACCAAATAAATAATACAATTTTAAAAAATAAAGAAAAATGTGATATTTTGGAGAATATGTAATAATTGGCTGTCAAATAGAAAAAAAAAAAACAGAGAAGAACAAACCTTAGACACTTGCTGGCAATAACTCTAAGAACACACATGCACAAAAGGTAATCTTATCATATTCTGTACAGCGTAAAGAGTCTAAATATAGCATCAGATCCTCCCTGATAAGACTAAAAGCAACAGTATATAGTACAACAGAGTTTCAAAGTTTGAAGGTAAATCAAAATATGATAATTCTTAGACAAAAAACTGTCATTTATGTGGAAGACCATCATTTTCACATTTTGATATCAAGGTCTCTGAACGCATTTTTCTCACATGTATATTTTTCTATATATTTTGACAAGGTGTTATTCCAGTACCCTACCCCTCTAATGAAAGTACAAGGACATGATAGAACACTTGACATGGGATAGCAAATTTAAATATATTACACTTTTAACTGTAGCATAATTTAAAAAACAGAATTAACATAATGCATATAATCCCTTATAATACCAGGAACTTCAAGTCCAAAATTGCCAAAAAAAAACCCCAAATGTTAGAGGTTTAAGATAAAGGGTATGTACAAGTGCAAAAATGGTCACTTCTTAATTGGATGTGCAAGGAGAAATAAGTTTTATTTAAGGCTGGCCTAGAAATAGACAAATGAAAAGGAAACAAATGTTCAAATTCCTAGGTAACTAGGGTCCCTAGGGCCAAAACAGAAGTCACAATATAGAATTTTCTTTGTATTAGGGCAAGTCATGGCAAGATAAAAAATTAAAAATGACATAAAAAATAAAAAGTATGTTGAATTTTATCAAAAGTTTTTTCTGCATCTTTTGAGATAATCATGACTTTTTGTCTTTAGTTCTTTTATGTGATGAATCACATTTATTGATTTCCGTATGTTGAACCAACCTTGCATCCTAAGGATGAAGACTATTTGATTGTGGTGGATAAGCTTTTTTGATGTGTTGCTGAATTCGGTTGGCCAGTATTTTGTTGAGGATTTTAACATCAATATTCATGCAAGATATAGGCCTGAAATTTTTGTTTTTTGTTGTATCTCTGCCATATTTTGGTGTCAGAATGATGCTTGCCTCATAGAATGAGTTCCTTTTCAACTTTTTGGGATAGTTTCAGTGAAAATGGTATTAGCTCTTCTTTGCACCTCAGATAGAATTCAACTGTGAATCTATCTAATTCTGGGCTTTTTTTTTTTTTTCTGGTTGGTAGGCTATTTATTACTGCTTCAATTTCAGAATTTGTTATTGGTCTGCTTAGTGATTCAATTTCTTCTTGGTTCAGTCTTGGGAGAGTGTATGTGTCCAGGAATTTATCCATTTTTTTCTAGATTTTCTACTTTATGTGCATAGAGGTGTTTATAATATTCTCTGATGGTTATTTGTATTTCTGTGTTGTCACTAGCAATACCCCATTTATCATTTCTGATTGTGTGTATTTGAATCTTCTCTTTTTTCTTCTTGGTTAGTATAGCTAGCAGTCTATTTTATCTTATAATTTTTTTCAAAAAATAAACTCCTTGATTGGTTAATCTTTTGAATGCTTTTGGGTGTGTCTCAATTTCCTTCAGAAAAGATTTCTGATGAAATTCAACATCCCTTCATGTTAAAAACTCTCAGTAAACTGGGTATTGAAGGAACATGCCTCACAACAAAAACAAGTAATGGAAAAACAATACTCTATTCAATAAATAGTGCTGAGATAACTGGCTAGCCATATGCAGAAAACTGAAACTGAACCCTTTCCTTACACCATACACAAAAATCAACTTAAGATGGACTAAAGACATAAAAGTAAAATCGAAAACTATAAAAACCTTGGAATACAACCTAGGCAAACTCATTTAGGACATAGGCACTCATGAAGATTTCATGACGCAGATGCTGAAAGCAGTTGGAACAAAGCAAAAATTGACAAATGGAATATTATTAAAGAGCTTCTGTACAGCAAAAGAAGCTATCAACAGAGTAAAAAGACAACGTATAGAATGTGAGAAAATATTTACAAACTATGATTCTGACAAAAGTCTAACATCCAGATTTGATAAGGAGCTTAAACAAATTTACCAAAAAAAAAAAAAAAATTAAACAATAGACAAATAATATGAATAGAAAGTTTTCAAAAAGAGACACAAATGCAGCCAACAGTCATATGAAAAAAAAAAAAAAGTCTGGCATCACTGATTACTAAAGAAATTAAAATAAAGACCACAATGAGATACCATCTCATGCCAGTCAGAATGGCTATTATTAAAAAGTAAAAAGAAGAAAACAGATACTGGAGAGGTTGTAGAGAAAAAGAAATGCTTATTGGTGGGAGTGTTATTTAGTTCAGCCATTGTGGAAGATAGTGTGGCGATTCCTCAAAGACCTAAAGACAGAAATCCCATTCAACCCAGCAATCCTATTTCTGGGTATATATCCAAAGGAATAGAACTCATGCGATTATAAAAACACATGCATGCATATGCACATTGCAGCACTATTCACAATAGCAAAGACAAGGAATCAACCTAAGTGCCCATCAAGGATACACTTAATAAACAAAATGTGCTACATACACACCATGGAATACTATGCACCTAAAAAAAGAAAGAGATCATGTCCTTTGCCAGGACATGGATGGAGCTGGAGGCCATTATCCTTGGCCAACAAACACAGGAACAGAAAACCAAATACCATTCATTCTCACATATAAGTGGGAGCTAAATGATGACAAAACATGGACACATAGAGGGGAATGACACACAATGGGGCCCACCTGAGTGCAGAGATTGGGAAGGGAAGTGGATCAGAAAAAATAACTAATGAATACTAGGCTTCTGTATCAGAAATCCCCATGACACGTGTTTACCAACCTGCACATCCTTGCACATGTGCCCTTGACCTTAAAATAAAGGCTAAAAATTAATTCATAATTAATTTAAAAATAAAAAAAGAAATGTTTAAATGTGAAATATAAGAAATAAGGAGCATATAATGTAAGGAACAGCAGCTAGCATCTTAATTAATAAAATGCAAAGATTATCACAATGTATTAATAAGTGAAAATTAGGAAATAAAACAATATGTATATCAGCAAATACAAGCAAAAATATATCACAATGAGCATATCAAAAATAAGAACAATAAGCTATATCAGAAATATGTATATTTTTAGA